CCGACGATCCTTGAAATAAGAGAGTCGTCTCGCTTTTCAAACTAGTGACGGTACATTTTTTAAAATGCACAACTATTTCAAGGTACAATGCCCCATTACAAATTTGATGCACTTAATTTTACAACCGACTTTCCGAAAATTCGTGCAATATTCTAAACAAGTCTGTAGGTTGACTATAAGAGGTGTCGGCACCATAAAGAATGGCCGACTTTGCGCTTGTTTAAACATAATAATAATAATAATAAAACAAAAAAAAAAAAGTAAATTGAACGTGCAAGTGACTTCAAAAATTTTGACAAATAAATATAATAACAAAATTTATGTGTATATATGTGTGTGTGCATGTGGAAAACCAAGTATTATCTTGGCCAGACTGACATATATTATTACTGTTGATATTTAAATCATTTTATAATTGCAACCGGTTTTGTTAAATCTCCATGAAAATATGCTAAAACAAAATGAGACGATCAACTTTGTATGAAAATAAAATAAAATTAATAACAGTAATTTGAATCGTAAATGGATCTCAAAATTAATACTCACGTGGATTTTAAAACTCAAATTTATACTTATCATCATCTTTTAAAAATTGAATAATATATTTTAGGCAAGATTTTTTTAAACTACTTAAGGTTTTAATTACTATCTCAAAATTCAAAAATACTAATGCACACATTTTTTTTATATATAAATATTTTTTAAAAAAAAACATTTGGACCGATTTTTCCATCTTTTGGCAGATTTTCCACTCATTATTTAAATTAAGGATTTTGTTCGCATTTCAAAATTAAAAACACCAATGCACACGTGTTTTACATATTAACTTCTTGCAATGAAGAATTTTGTTCAATTTTGACCTGTATTTTATAAATCACACATTTTTAAAATTCTAAACTAATCTATTTAAATTTTTGTGATTTCGAATTTGAAATCCAACAAGAGTAATTTCTAATTATTAACATTTTATATACTTTTTAAAATATTTTTACAGGTAAATTTTTTACACATTCTATAGATTAAATTATATATGTGTGTGTGTGTGTGTGTGTGTGTTTGTGTGTGTCAAATTTAAATGTCCTCAGACATGTTATGTGATATGGGATATTATACCCACAAGGCTGAACCAGTCTGTTAACCGGTCGAGGAGGTCATATTATGAGGAAGCCAAAGGAATCGAGCAATTAACCAGTCGACCAAGTAAGGTTGTCGACTGAATTATCCTTCGACCAGATACGCGATCGAGCAATTTATTCGACCTCATCAGGTCGATTACTTCGAGGACTTAACACCACGTTGTTCGGCCTAGTCGCAGGCGCATGAAGGAAGCCTCTGACAGAATTCCAGGAAAATATTTACCCCATGTGCAGGGGGACACGTGTCGAGAAAGCAGTGGTGGATAGCAATAACCGCCTCTGACAGCATATCCCATGTGCAGGAGGACACGCGTCCAAAGGGGATTGGTGCAGGCGATAGTGGCGACGGCTACCTCTGACACACGCGTTTGGTGCGTACGGACGGGCAGTTAGGGCAGACAGCTCATCAAATCCGGGCAGCCCTAGGTCAGGTATCTCACCTCTATATAAAGGGGGTGAGCCTTTCTTCTTCAACACGATCATTCTATTACTCTTGAGAATTGATTGAATACACACTGACTTAAGCTTCGGAGGCTCTTCACCGGAAAACCCCTCCGGTGTGAGAGTTCTTTGTAGGTGCACGACGTTCAACCGGCGAGAAGGAAGGCGATTACTCAAGTTCCAGCCGGTCGAGGAGTTTTGTGTTACCATTATGGTTCCAAAATAGTTAGTTTAGGTGAATTCAATTTTTTTAATAATAATAAATAATATTTTACATAATCTTATATATGTTATATAAGATTATAGTATTTTGAATATTTTAAACATACATGTTTATGTTATCTTAGACAAAATAATTTTATATTGTAAATTATATCAAATGTAAACCCCACTTCTTTAATTGATAATATTTATTTAATATTGTTTACTCATTCATTAATTTATAATTATTATTTAATATAGTTCACCCGTACATCGCATGGGCTATGCACTAGTTTCATTGCACAACTACAAATAAAACTTTATACGTCATATATATATATATATATGTGTGTGTGTGTGTGTGTGTGTCTATATGTATATTTCTGTAATATTTAACATCATAAGTTATATAATGAACATGTCACATTTTATAATTTTTATCATTAGTTAAAATGAACGATATAAATATATACTATTTAACTTAAATATGAATTTTATATTGATGCAATCTTGACTGCTTATGATCAATTAACTGAATAATACACTATTAAAATTATTAGTATAACAATTGTGTACCAATTTTTTAAGAGGTTTGTTACATTAAAAATAATTAACTAATTTTATAATAATAAACTTGCTTAATGAGTTAGAAATAATTAAAAATTTGTTTGAAAAAAAGCTTTAGAATAAAACAAATGTGGCTTTACTATTAGTTAAAAATAGTAATTAAATATAATAAAATAAATAAAATATATATTTGCTTGCATTCAAAAGTAACGAAAAAAAAGCCGAAAATGAAAAGAGTTTTATTAATTATTTTGTTAGTAATTATATATATATATAATCTTATCTCATCACACATTCACACTAACATAGATAATCAAAAAAAATCCACCAAAAAGTTATAATCTTGCTTCTTTAACGTAACATAATTAAACTAACAAAGCCCAACCTCACAAATCTTTGGTACTGAAAAGAAGTTACAACCCACCAATTTTTCTCCTGTTCATTTGACATTTGGTTAGGCCCGCTTAACTATTAGGAAAGGTACCTTTTTCATTAAAAAATATATTTTTTATTATTATGTCATAATTTAATTAATATAAATAAAAGTATATTTTATTAGTATAAAATATGTTTCTTAAAGAGTGACGGGTCAATCCATTAATAATTAGATCACACTTATTATATTTTGTCACTACAAGAAAATGATGAAATTACAACGGAAATATATTTTAATAGAATTATTCCAACGACAATTTCAATATGTTATATCAATGTAATTATTTCTGTTGGAATTTTTCAATAAATTCCAATAGAAATTCCAACAAAAATATTCCGTTTGAGTGACTTTTCCGTTCTATTTTGACGATTCCAACAATGGATTTTTCAACGGGACGGAAATAAAAATTCCAACGGAAATTGCATGTTCAAACGGTACTTCCTGCGGAAAAAGCCATTGGAGATATGGTCGTTGGAATCATCAAATTTCATCTTAAATTTCAATGAAAAACACATTTCAACGGAATATTTCCGTTGAAATTTTCATTGGAACCATAAAATCGTTGGAATCATCAAACTTCATCTAAATTTCCAATGAAAAACATATTTCAATGGAAACTATATCATTGGAATATCCGTTGAAATTTTCATTGCAATATATTACCATATGATTTTCCGTTGACAATTTTTTTTGTAGTGTGTAATGTATTTAATATTAAGCGTTACACTACAAAATAAATGTTATATTCCAACGGAAAATCCTATGGTAATATATTCCAATGGAAATTCCAACGGATATTCCATTGGAATAGCTTCCGTTGGAATAATTCCAACAGAAATTCCAACGGAAATATTCCGTTGGAATGTGTTTTTCATTGGAATTTTTAGATGGAATTTGATGATTCCAACGGCTATATTTCCAACGGTTTTTTACCGTAGGAATTTCCGTTGGAATATGCAAATTCCGTTGGAATTTTTTTCTACCCCCGTTGAAAAATCCGCCGTTGGAATCGTCAAAATCCAACGGAAATTCCAATGGAAAACTCATTCTAACGGAATATTTTTGTTGGAATTTCCGTTGGAATCCATTGAAAAATTCCAACGGAAATAATAGTATTGAAATATCCGTTGAAATTGCCGTTGGAATAATTCTTTTGAAATATATTTCTGTTAGAATTTCATCATTTTCTTGTAGTGTTAGAACAAAACACCACAATTATCATTGTTTCAAAAATTGGGCTAGGCAACATTGTCGATATCCCAATTTTATTTCTTATTTTTAATTTAATTTTAGAATATAAAGATATTTTATGATTTTCATATTTTAAAGACAATAGTTATAGAGTTGAAAAATAAAGGAGAATGCTCCCCTACTCACGGCGGACACATGTTAATATGGTTTATGTGACATGTATACATTGGTGATGTATTTTTTTGAACATATTAACATCACCAATGTGTGCATGTCACATAAGTTGCAGCTATAATTATATAAAATTTTAAAAACTCTTTATATCTGATAGTATTAATTATTATATTTTTATATAGAGTATTTTGAGAAATAATAAATATAAATAAATTTATTAATATATTATGGTGGATTTGTTCCTATACTAGAAAACATTTTCTGTAAAAGGAAATCAGAATAAGATTATTTCCTTAAATGGATTCGGATGACTACAAATCTTTCCAAGATAAGATAATATAATATGGTCTTTAAAAAAGATCATATCTAATCCAAATTCAAAAATTTCAAATATTGAATGAAATCAAGTCTTAATTTGCACAGTTAATTTCCCTATATAACCTAAAATTAAATACTAATATATATGCGAAAATATGAAAATGGAATAGTGCATATCATCCTATCCGAGTAAGATATACGCACTTACCTTATCGCGCATTTAATTTATCCATTTCTTCAGATAAAGTTTTTTTTTAACAAGGGAGATGTTACGGTCCGATTACGTCCGTCGAAATTTGTAGCCGTTATTACTTTTGACAAGTTTCCATCTAACGTTAGCATGTTTATCAAATCTTATCCAAATTTCGTACAACTTAGGCAGCTGTAATAAATTAGTTAATATACGCAAGTCACCCCTATAAATACATCCCTTTGGCAAACACAATAATACTCAACTCAGCACACAACACACAAAACAAAAAAAATCAAACAAGCTCTAATCTAATTCTTCTTTTTCTTCCTCCATAAGAAATCAGATGGCGGCAAACACCGTGAACGCAATCGGGTGGGGCACCAAGGACTCGTCGGGTATCCTCACCCCTCTCAAGTTCACCCGTCGGGCCACGGGCCACAAGGATGTCCAGTTCAAGGTCATGTTCTGCGGGGTCTGCCACTCGGACCTCCACCTCATCAAGAACGACTGGGGCTTCGCCAACTACCCCATGATCCCGGGCCACGAGATCGTGGGCCTCGTCACCGAGGTCGGGCCGGGAGTCTCGCGATTCAAGCCAGG